ATATATTTTATTCAAAAATAAAAACATCATCGCTTTTTCAAAATCACATAAAGCCATATTATAACATCGATTGAGATAAAGATTAAAATGAAATATTAAAATCATGATGTGTATCGCTGCATTGCGCGAGTACGCTTCTAGTATATATATATATATATATATATATATATATATATATATATATATATATATATATCTTTGTTATCTTATTTTATAACATAACAAAAATTTTATGTTATAATAAGTTCTTCAAAAAGACTGAAACCCCCCTATTACTAATCCTAAACAATCTGATGAATTTTTATATTATTTATGTAACATCGGTCCACAATCTCATTTTTCACCCCATTGACAAATACATGAACTTTGAAAAACTAATGAATGAAAACAATATATCCCATCCATGTACATTAAAATATTCTTTTTTGATATTATTTCCTTGCTTAAAAAAAAAAAACCATCATATGAACGGAGTTTAATTGTTTTTGAGGAAAGATATAAACCAAGTATATGTCTCATTGGAATTTTTTTTTTTTGACTGTTTTTTAGAGTCCTAGGATTAATCAAGGTATATATAAGCTGAGCCAGACGCGCACAATTATATATATATATATATATATATGGATTGGTTCAAATGTTAATTAAAATTATTGTGTTAACTTTGTTAACCAATCTTGGCCATTGATTCTTACAATAAACGGTTGTGATTAATCATGATAAAAAATTAATTTTTTAAATTTACAATTTCAAAAAACATACGTGAACAAAGGGGAAAAGGGTATTTAGGTGATTTTTCTTTTTTTATGTAACTCCCATATCATTAATTGGGAGTTACAAAATCAAAAAATCTCGTTTTTTTTTGTTAATGTAATAACCATATGAACAACATGTGAACCGTATGAACATCTTATGTATATTCAGAAGCCAACTCTGTTGTATGTACATGAACACATATGAACCAATGCATCAAGGGTTGTGTGTTTTCATACGTGCTCACATGTCTTCACATGTTCTCTGTGTGTGTATGGATTCATATGAACATCTAGTGATTTGAGTAGAAATGAACACTTATGAATCACAACATCTAAGGCTGTGTGGTTTCTGATGTGTTCATATGCCTTCATATGTGTGTGTGTGTCCCTATGTCTTCATATGAACATCTAATGCACTATGTGTTAACTTCATATGTCTTCACCTGTAAACTGATTAAATCTCTCAACAGAGCCAACTCCTGAATAATACATAAGTTGTTCAACAGGTCAGCTGCAGTCACCTTTTTTGCAAGATAAGTGAGAACTGTCAAATGTGAGAACTGTCGATTAAAACGAATGTAATATCATATTAATTAATTACTAATACAAACGTTTTGATCATTGTCTTTACTTCCGGAACTCGAAGTCCGATTGTCATCGTAAACCATTTTAACTTTCTCATTCCCATTGTTGTCGATCTGTTTTCCAATGGGTTTATCCATATTAGCTTGGACGATATCGAAAATTTTACTATCGGAAATTCTTTAACAATCACAAATTTAATAACATTATAGATAGATAAATCAAATTTAAAAAACAATCACAAATTGAAAAACAAGATCAATATTAAATCATCATCATTTATGAGATTTTTATATTTTGTAACTCCCAATTAATGATACGAGAGTTGCACAAAATGATAAAATTACTTAATTACCCTTGTCATTAACATATGAAATGTATGTTAACCTAAAGAAAAAATTGATTTTCATTAGTTGAGCTTGATTAATAAAATTAACACAATAATTTTGATTAACATCTGAACCAAACTATATATATATATGTTTTGCTTGTTGATGTATAATGTGGTGGGCAATTCATAGCCCCTAATCTTGATCAAAGGTCATATCTTGGTTTTGGTCATGGCATGTCATGGCAATGGAAACGTTGAAAATGTCACCAATACTATTTTTCCCTTTGGGGTGCACAACTAAAACAAAAGCAGCAACGATGCTTTCCCATTTGTCTCATACCTCTTCCTCCTCCATCTCCCTCTCTTTCTCCTCCTCAACCGCCTTCCGCCACCGTCTCCGCCCTCTCTTCCCGTACCCCCCTTTCAAAATCTTGAAATTTCATACAAACCTGCCGTCTTTCTCGACCAACGTTTCGATGGACTCACCCCGGGCGGCGGGGGGTTTGGGTTCGTCGATTGATTCACTCGTCGATGGATTGGAGAAACAGAGTTTGAGTGAAGAGAAACGAGTGAAGATGAGCCTTGAGGATTTGAACTGGGATAATTCTTTTGTTCGCGAGTTGCCCGGCGATCCTCGTACTGATGTCATGCCGCGACAGGTGAATCTCGACAGTTTTGATTTCCACTTGATGATTCTTTCCATTGCATTCACTAAGATCCCTTTCCCCCCAAATCAATGAGTTTTTTAATCCTTAAATGTGTTGCTTTTTGTTTATAGATATTTAACTTTCTAGCTATCTATTACGACATGAATTCAAAGGACTTAACAAAGAGTGAATCTTTACCTGTTTTTGATGGAAATTAGATCGAATATAGGTGCATTTTAGCCAAGAACCCTAATGAAACAACTCTATCCAACAAAGTTATGTGTGTATCACTGATTTTGGAGTTTCTTGTTGGGGTTGTACTTCTTTAGCGTTAGGTGCATCAGGGTAAAAATGGGTCACATCAAATTTAATCTTAGTATATTGGTGTTTGGAAATTAGCTTGAAAGATCATGGTGGAACAGAAAGCACCCTTTTTCTTTTGTGGGTTCTTGATATATAGAGAATTTTGATGCCAAATTTAACTTACCATTTTGTTAGAATGATTAGAATCATATGATAATTTCAAATTGGCACTTCAAGATGATACAAACTTGATCAGATAGCACTTCAAGATGATATCTCCTTTCTTGAGAAATGCTGGTTGTAGGGCATTGAACTGTCTGGATGCTTCATAATTTGGTGTGAATATATTTTTGGTGAGTTTCAGGTGCTCCATTCATGTTATTCGAAAGTATCCCCATCTGTTCAAGTGGAAAACCCTCAATTAGTCGCGTGGTCTGAATCAGTTGCAGAAATTCTTGATTTAAATCTTAAAGAGTAAGTTCCGCCTTTACTAGATTGACCTATCATTCGAAATCATATCCCAATCTTGAGATTTTTCTTGGTGTTGCAGATTTGAAAGACCCGACTTTCCACTTCTGTTCTCCGGGGCATCTCCTTTAGTAGGAGGGTAAGTGCTATTGGTCGTTTATTACATTCCTCACGAGCTTTTAATTGAAATATCATAAGCACTAATACGATTAGCTGCTACTCAGAATATCTTATGCTCAATGTTATGGAGGACATCAGTTTGGAATGTGGGCAGGCCAATTGGGTGATGGCCGGGCAATCACTCTTGGGGAGCTTGTGAATTCTAAGTCCCAAAGGTGGGAACTTCAGCTGAAGGGTGCTGGGAAGACTCCATATAGCCGGTTTGCTGATGGTTTAGCTGTTCTACGTAGTAGTATCCGAGAATTTCTTTGCAGCGAAGCAATTCACGGTCTGGGAATTCCAACTACTCGTGCCCTTAGCCTTGTAACAACTGGGAAATATGTTACACGTGACATGTTTTACGAGTAAGTTTTGCATAGTAAAACATTGCAAGACTGGAGACCCTCATTTGGTTATGCTTTTCTTGTACCTGCTTCTTTTGTATGAGTTTTATAAGGTGAATATGTCAATTAAGTAACCTCGAAGTACTATGTTTGACTCCAATATTTGTTGTGTCTTTTCTTGAACGGAAGTAGATTGCTTTTTTTTTCCAACTCTGCTGACATATGGCTCTTCTGCTAAATGCAGTGGCAATCCAAAAGATGAACCTGGTGCGATCGTATGCAGAGTTGCACAATCTTTTCTGCGTTTTGGATCATTCCAGATACATGCTTCAAGAGGAAAAGAGGATCTTGATATTGTTCGAACTTTGGCTGACTACACCATCAGGCATCACTTCCCTCATATAGAGAATATGAGCAAAAGCGATAGTTTATCTTTCTCCACTGGCCAAGAAAATGATTCTGTCGTAGATCTAACTTCAAACAAATATGCAGGTGAAATAGAAACCGAATCCTATTGCCCTTCGGTTATATATATATAATGCATTTTGATCTGCATCTAAACCTATTTCTACATGATGGATCTATCAGCTTGGGCGGTGGAAGTTGCTGAACGTACAGCTTCTTTAATTGCAAGCTGGCAGGGTGTTGGCTTCACACATGGTGTGATGAATACTGACAATATGAGCGTATTGGGCCTCACGATTGATTATGGTCCTTTTGGATTTCTAGATGCTTTTGATCCTAGTTTCACCCCCAATACCACAGATCTTCCAGGAAGACGGTATTGCTTTGCAAATCAACCCGATGTTGGCTTATGGAACATCGCTCAGTTTGCATCAACTCTTTCATCTGCCAATTTGATAAACGAGAAAGAGGCCGATTATGCCTTGGAAAGGTAACTCAATTTAACTCTTTGCCTGTTTTTAAGTTGAAAGATTGCCCATTTGACGTCAAAAGTCACAGTAACAGTATACCTGTTCTTTAGTGGCTTATTTAGATAGCTGATTTTGGATATTTTCTTGATTTCGTGCAGATATGGTACAAAATTTATGGACGACTACCAAGCTGTGATGACCAAAAAGCTTGGACTGCCAAAGTATAATAAACAACTCATAAGTAAACTGCTGAACAATATGGCTGTTGACAAAGTTGATTACACAAACTTCTTTAGATTACTGTCCAACATCAAAGCTGATTCTACAACCCCGGATGAAGAATTGTTGGTTCCGCTCAAGGCTGCTTTGCTGGATATCGGAAAAGAGCGCAAGGAGGCTTGGACCAGCTGGGTTAAAATTTACATCGAGGAGGTAATGTGACTGTTGCACATCCGTTTACAATATTAGTACTTCAGTTTCTACTATTCAAGATTCTATACATTTTCGCTGTAGAAATAGTGCGTCGAGTCTTTAGATGTGATAGATCTCAGCTCTGATACCATGTTAATATATGTAGCCACCCATTGAATCTCTCTCTAAAAGAACACTTTTAGAGACGAGGAAGGTTCCTACACACATATTTACATATACATAAATAGGTTCACGTTCAGGGGAAAACCACAAAAAAAAATGAAAACTGAGGAACACCATGGTAATCTTTCATCATTCATCTGTATAGTATCCACCAAGTAATTTCCAAGTAAGTTGTCTGGTTATGCACACATGCATAGAAACCAAGAAGCAATTTCAATTACTTGAATGCACATGTGTATATCGTACAAATGAATCGTTATTAGGGTATTCCTCGAACTTTCATTTTTTGGAGGGTTTTCCCCTGAACCTCCTTCTACAGACAAAGCAATATAAAGGATGGGTTTGTGTTTTGTATGCTTATCCATGATACTTTTTTTACTTACGGTGATCATTTTCTATGATACAAATAGCTATCCGGCAGCGGAGTTCCAGATGAGGATAGAAAAGGTTCGATGAACTCGGTGAACCCAAAGTACATCCTGAGGAACTATCTGTGCCAGAGCGCCATAGACATGGCTGAACAAGGCGACTTTGAAGAGGTGAGAAGATTGCTCAAAGTCATGGAACGACCATATGACGAGCAACCTGGTATGGAAAAATACGCTCGTTTGCCGCCTGCCTGGGCTTACCGTCCAGGTGTGCGTATGCTCTCTTGCTCATCCTGAGGTTTCTATAAAGCGTACGCGAGAGTGTATATATAACATTTACGCTACCTTAGACTTGGTAATATGTTGTATATCTATGTTTGCCACGGAGGTCATCATCGTTAGGTCTATCGTTTTTTGTTCGTTACGTCTATTTTAGAAGGGTGTTAGTATACAATTATACATTATATGTCAAGTTAAAAACGTTATTCATATCGTTTGTTCTAAATTAGACGTTATGAAAGGTTATTGCATGTTGATGTAAGACAAGACTCGCGAAAATTATGGATTTGGTCCCTGCGGTTTAGTGCCTTTTACGGAATTGGTCCATAAACTTTATTTATATGTAAAAAAGGCGTGTGGTATGCAGTTTTACACGATTTTGGTCCTTGGGTCAAATGGTCATTCATATTCTCCATCATGGCTTGTGTTATTAGCGTTCAAGTCTCGAGTAAGGGCTTGAAGCCACGTCCAAAACCTAGATATCCCATGAAGAGGATGACAGGAGTTTCTTGAATCTTCATCTAACAATTTTAATGGTGGATTTACTTTTAAATAATGGGTTTTCTAGGTTTATTTCACATGTTTTTGAATCTTGATGCCAATAAAGATAATGAAACATTCAATAAAATAAATAAATAAATAAATAGTAATTAAAGAAAGATTAAAATTAAAGAAAATGACAAAATGACTATTTTGTTTTTACTAGTTAACGGGCGTTTTGTCCAGGACCAAATCCGTGAAAGAATCATATCACATGCCTTTTTACGCAATGAATGAAATTTTGGGACTAATTTCGTAAAAACTCCAAATCACAGGGATGAAATCTATAACTTACTCCAAAGAAAATGAAAAAAATGAAGATTGTTACAAATATGACATTAAATAAGATTATACATTATTTTTTATTATTAGAATGATACAAGTGTAATGTAACGAGATACATTTCGATTTTAATGTTTAGTTTTTATTCTTTGTCTTTATTGATATAAAACGATTTTATATGGTTTTGAGAAAACGATTTTGTTTTTATTTTTGAATGAAATATAAATTTAAAGATAACATAACAATTTTAAAAAAATAAATCGATAATAATATCAAATTAACTATTTAATAGTTCTCCTTTTTTGGTGTAACTTCTTTAATTCAATTTTTATTATAATTTAATTTAAATTTAATAACAAAGTAATTTATTTTTGGTTTAATAATATAATTTTTTATAAAGGTAATAGTTAAATATTCTGTGAGAACTAAATGATTATCGTAATTATATTTTAGATTTTCTATATTTAAAATGAATATTTATCCTGTATTTAATTATGTTTATATACAGTTAGCTATACGAATTTAAAAATAAAACTTTAATAAATTATACTTGTACAAAATTTTTTATAATCTTAAATTTTGAGAAATATACAATAATTTATAATATTTCATACATAAAAATTGATTATTAAGAATTTTTCTCAAATAATTTATAATATAACATTATATTATATATATATATATAGATAGATAAATAAGGAGTAATAAATTTAATTAAAAACTGTGAAAATGTGAGACCCAAATGAAAATGTGATCCAAAAGAATGGGAAATCAGATCCCCTGTTCCTTGGAACAAAATTTCGGGTGAGCTGCTGAGGCTACATGACTTGTTAAGCTCAGAAGATTCTAAGGTGCTAGACCCAATCTCCAGGTAATCTCTTGCCAAAGATCTCACTTTTCAACCTTTTTCGTTCCATTTAGATTGAAAAGTGATGCTCTTATAATGCCAAAGTGAGTTTCGCCTCTGTAATTTTTGGTTTTTTAAGCCATATGTGGGTAGTATGTAATGTCGTTTGCTCAAAGATTTTTGTAACCCTAGCTGTAGCCCAATTGAAAGTTATAAAACTATTTGATTATGATTATATGTGTAGACTTGAATTCTTGAAATTTGATGAATATGCCCATCAATATTATCTGAAAAAGGAAAGAAAACTCGGTGCATATTCTTCTATGACAGATATATGGTTACCTGAAATTTTAAATGCCAACTCTTCTCATATCAGTCGGTTCTCACTTTTTTTTCGCCCTTCATTCAACTAAAGAGCTACACAACGACTTTGGATGTCAAGTAGGTCATTTTTCAAATTCAACGTTCTGTTTTCAATCAGCAAAGAGGAAGTGGGATTCGAACAATTATTACCACATCATGATGAATTTGATACAATGCAATCTGAACACTTTATCATATGACAATTCTTCAACTTCGAATGTGCATGATATGATTTCATGCTAAATGCTTTATGAAGTGACTTGAATCTGATAAACCAAAACCAAAACCAAAACCAAAACCAAAACCAAAACCAAAACCAAAACCAAAACCAAAACCAAAAGCAAGCGAACCCAGTCTAGGAAGGGTAGGATATATGCAGACCGTAGCGAGACTGTTTCGAAAACTCAGAAGATCCCTGGCTCGCTAAGAAGTTTGCAGGAAAAAAGTTCTTGGCTGTCTTAGAGGACCCCGAAAGAATTTCTTAAAAATGCAATTGAGTAAATCTGGTATGAACTTTGAACTGTCTTGAAAAAGATTATTAACTAAATTTTAACATATCCAAGAAATAGAATAATGTTGGTGTTAAATCTGTAACAAAATCCATTATGTCATTTAAAAAAGTACCATGTATGAGTCTTTTTATATCAAAAAGGAAAAATCATAGTATATCTCTTTTTTGAATCATTGAAATACATGTGAAGCTTATCAAGTTAACAATATCAATAGCATCCGTCAGTTCCACAATTTTTGCTTGATTTTTCCACTGCTGTTCAGGCGTATCTTTAATCTTTGCAAATTTTAGGAAGTGGACTCTAGTTGTGGAACAATGGGAATTTTTAATAAAAATATAGTTTTGCCAGATGGATGTTATACCCAAATTTCCTGGTTTTATATGTGGACTTATATTTGGCAGCATATATTTGAGGAGGAGTGTATGAATCCATGTATTTATTTGAAGCGGTTAGTCTCAGCTTGTTTATATTCTCAACTGCGGGTAAGGTGATCCATAATTTTGGTATTTCCTCTCATGTGATGCATGATTTTTTTTGTCTTCTGTTGTGAAGACTTAAGCGTTGCCATGTCTGATTTGTTGTTGGAACTTTGTTGTGCACGAGTTGTGTTTAAATGTTAACTTGTACTTTGATGAAACTATTTTATCGACAAATAAGCATAATGCAAAATTGTGATACCAAATGGTGGTATTCTTTTGCAGGGAATGAGAATTCCTTGTAATCTTGAGGTATGGAGACTGGGCACAGTCAATTACTTGGGAGCACTTAAATTACAAGAAAATCTGGCTTCTGATAGGAAAATCAGTAAGATTTCTGATACCCTTCTGTCCTTACGGCACCCACTACTTACACACTTGGCAAACATCGAACAGACTACAACTTGTTGGTTCCTGATTCTGAACTTAAAAATATGGGTGCTGAACTTCACTACACACAGATGGGAGGGGATATTACATTTCGTGGTCCTCATCAAGCCATTCTATATCCTATTCTCTCTTTAAGAGATATTGGGCTTGGTGCTAGGAAATATGTTGAAAATCTTGAATCAACTATGATTGAATTGGCGTCTCTATATGGTGTCAAAGCTCATGGTCAAAGGAAATGTGAGACTGAGGTCTGGGTTGGGGAAAGAAAGATTGGTGCAATTGGAGTTCAGATTTCATCTGGGATTACCTCTCATGGTTTGGCATTTAACATTGACCCTGATTTGAGCTACTATAAACATATTGTGCCTTGTGGAATTGCTGATAAGGAAGTCACTTCATTGAGGAGAGAGACGGAAATGGTGCTCCCTGGTGATGAAGTGATCCAGGACCAGTTGGTTTCTTGTTTTGCGAGATTATTTGGTTACAACAATATCATTTGGAAGCACAATGCTTCCGTTAACGAGGTTTAGTAGTTAAACAGAAATATGTCTGTACTTTTCGTGTATTTTCTCACTCTTCTCTAAACGATCCATAATTTCTTGAAAAATTGATGGTATTTCTAACTTGATTCTTTTTGCATATCAACATCTCACCTTTACCTGTAGCACCTGAAGTTATCCTAATATAAATAGATTTTATATATATGTATGTATGCATATATATATATATATGTATGTATCTGAGTAGGAGAATAGAAGATCTGGTACCAGGAATAGCCACAAGATTTGAATTGCTACCTATTCCAAGCCATGTTCTTTTTCTTGAAGAATCTTTTGGACCTAGGAAAAGACAAGCAGTTTCTGCTACAAAAATGTTATTTTAAGTGCAAACTAAATCACATAAATGACTCGCCAGCTAATCCTAGATTCAAAACGAGATAGGAAGAGGGGTTTATGTGTATTATCATAACTGCTAGTCCCATATCGAACAATTGGTTTGGAGCTGAGAAACATACAAGATTCTTTCAATGTAGTATATGAGTAGAGAGAGATTCAGCCAGGATAAAAAGGGGTTTCACTTTACAGAGGAAATACACCCACATATGAAAAGAAAAAAAGGGGGTTTCCAAGAAAATGGTGGTGGGCTGGTGATTATGTGCAAAACTGGTTTAGGAAGGCAGACCCAGCTAAGATGAGCTGTGGGTGCTTACACTAACAAATAGTTGTTGAATTCAATCAAGATTTTTCAACAAAGGAGGGTGTGATGTGGTATCATGTGTAGGGGGTCACATGATCAGCCATGTTCTTTAATATTCTTTCAAGATTTGCATTAGAATTGAGAGAAAGATCACCATTAGTACAATCAGCTTCACATGATAAGCTCCTTCCAAGTGCCAACTTGCTAAACAACAAGAAAGATAGACCTCAGTTTCACTTAACTAGTCTAGAGGTACTTCTGTTTTTGGAAGTTCATAATTACTGAGATTCTTTAGATATATGTATACAGATAAAGATACATACAGAGTGAGTCAAGGCCCATGCTGGAACTTCAAGATCCCACTATGCCCATGCCCATGCCAATGCCAAGGCTCCATTTTTATGAAGCTTCATTCGTGAAAAAGTTGAACGATCTGAAACGCGTATTTAGTGCACATAAAGTATGAACTTTTTACAATCTTTTGACTCTATCAGACTACACTTTACACTTGTTCCTTTCTTTAAATTGCTTTCTTTTTTATATTATATTAAAAATGGGGGTAACATTACACATGCTTTGTCAGACTTGACCACAGGCTGCATCCAATATCATCTTCTGCCATCTTTCTTAAGAAGAAAATTTCCATTAAGGAGCAACTTAGATTCAGTCATCTCATTTTCTCCAACCCCATAATAAACAGATAAACCATGGCTTACAAAGTATTCGTTTTTCTACTTTCTTTGATTCTCTTCCATCATCCAGTTTCATGCCGCCCTTTGTTGTCATCACCATCATTGTTCCTCCATGGACCACAGACTCAACCAAGAAGACTAATGGCTTCTTCTCTCACCTCCCTTTCTACAAATCCATCTAAGCTAGGTGTGCCCATGAATGAACCCCAGACGTCGGTCGAAGCTAATCTGAGGAAACGACCACCGAGTGCTTCAAACCCGACACAGAACTAGTGATCTAGAGATGAAGAAGAGAAACCCAAAGTGTTTTTCTTCTCTTCCTACAAGTTTCTTTGATTTTAGCCATCTTTACCTTTTAGTTCTGATAGGGAAGGTGATTTCAATGTATAAAGTCTTGATTTTTAACTAATATATTATTCTTTTAATTGTTCATGGGATTTAGCTCCTGATTTTGCTTTATGCTTATTCACAATTGTAGACCTGGTGACTTGCTACTGATTTTTGATATATTTATCTATTATACTAAACAACTGAGGGTTTCTATCTTTAATAATTGTTTCTTATTCATGTTTCTCTGCAACTTTTGAACTATGTTCCAGATCTGTCTGCCATAGAAACACTTTCTCCATGCCAGTCATAATTTTAGACTGTAGAAATGGACAAAACAAAGCTATGCATCTCTTTCATTGCATGTGTTACAAACCCAATTGGTTGGACCATAGTTGCGATGATTTATTTCACGGGACAGGTCTCAGGTTCAAGTTCAGGATATTTAAGAATTATTCAACTTGAGTTATGAGCATTATACCATTAGACATAATGTTCAAGATCCTTTTTTTGGTTGCATATGAAAATTTTATCTTGTTAAACATGAAAAAACCAAAGTTAATAAAGTGTCAATATTGCCCTCGGGCATGTAGCTGAGTTGGTAAAGAGGCAGAGCAACTTGCTCAAGTACGCAACAGAGAGATCGGCTTGAACCCCTCTGCTAGCCTCAGCTCTGAAATGCCTCATCACACGTGGTTCTTAAGAGATGGGTTATGTATATCGACTCTAATTTTTCTGTTTATCGATTGGTATGAGTACATGTTACGTAAGGGTCGTTTACCTATTGTCGAGTCGACCGCTACTGATTCGGTCAGCAAAACGGACTCGACCAATATCAACATGTTTACCTAAGGACTAATCTAACTAAAGATGTTGGCCGAGCACCTACCCAGCCAACATCATTATTTCACTTACCGTGCCAGTTTACACACTCAGGGTCAGTTTTACATACTGAGACTGCATTCTTACCCGGTTAACGCTTACTCATTCTGTATTTGTTGGAATCTTAATTGTAGGCCAACAATATGTTCCTTTGATCTATGAAGACAATAACTAGCAGACAACAAAGGTACATATTCAACAATTAATGGAGATAGGAATCATGTTCTTGTGCTGAAATTGTAGTCGAATAAGTCCAGAAAACGAATCATGATTTTATGTACGAACCACACCAACACCGTCTATGGAAATGAAGAGCATCCCACTTTATAATGAGTTGGGATCTCTATATAAGGGGTTCAATTCATGAAAGCATTTAAGTTGGTGGTATTTTAGTTTTAATTTACTTAGATTATAATACTTATTAAAAAATCGATTTCAAATTGAATCGATCAAGAGTCACTTTCGTGAAACACGATTGTTAGTGGTGCAATGGGGGACGCCGAATTAAGCCACCATGGTGGTATAACCCCGGCGTCGTCATTGCACCACCAACAGTTATGTCTCCTTTTTTGAAGAATAGTTCGGTAGGAGGCTTGTTGATCGGTGGAACTATATCACGGTGAAAGTTTTCTTCCGATCCTCCTTATCTTTCTCTTTTTGTTGTATATACACATATGTACGAAGATGAAATATTAAGCCACCATGGCCCTCACTTATGATGCATAACCGATCCTAAACTAGATATTAGGACTGAAAATTTCCTGAAAAATATTACCGGCTCAGTGAACCTTAACCATTCTCTACCGATCCCAATTTTGGTTCCAGTCCCTTGCTGGTTAGGGATCGTGCCATGTTTGATTATTTCTTACTAAGGAGCTGTTTGATAGTTACCGTATGATTTGGTAATCAGAGTTAATTTTTTTCTTTATTATGGGCTTAGGATGTAGATACATGGCTCAATTTTCTAAACCATGGAAAGTAGTTCTGTTAGCCCAATAAGGTTTGAAGTATCCAATTTTCCATTATAATCTCTACTCTATATATGTGGTTCTGTAATATATTACAAAATATTTGATGAAAAATCATTTTTTAAACATAAAGTATTGTTTATTGATGCATATTACTTAAAATTTAAGATTATAAGTAGATTGTACGTAAGTACAACTTATTAAAACTCCATGTTTGAATTTGTGTTACTAGCTACAGATAAACATAATTAAATACAAGATAAATATCTCATTTTAAATATAAAAAATATAAAATATAATTATGATAATCATTGGGTTCTAATAAAATATTTAATTATTATTTCTATAAAAAACTATATTATTAAATCAAAAATAAATTACTTCGTTATTAAACTTCAGTTAAAATATAATAAATAATGAATTAAAGAATTTATACAAAAAACGAGAAAATTTAAATAGTTAATTTGATACTAATATCAATATATATATATTTTTTAAAATTATTATGACATCTTCAATTTTATATTTTATTCAAAAAATAAAAACATTATCGTTTACTCAAAACCACATAAAATTGTATTAAAACATCGATAGATGCAAAAAATAAAAGGAAACATTAAAATCGAGATGTATATTTCTACATTGCACGAGTACCATTCTAGTTATATTATAAAATATTTGACAAAAACTCTTAAAAATAATTTGTTATATATGGAGTACTGCTTATTTATGCATTTTACTTAAAATTCAAGATTCCAAGTAAATTATGTGTAAGTACAACTTATTAAATCTCCATTTTCAAATTCGTGTAAGTAATTATAGATAAACATAATAAAAAATATATGATAAACATATCACTTGAAATATAAAAAATCTAACAAAATACGTAATTATTACCTTTAAAAAAATATTTGGTTTTTTGCTTTTTTAAGTCGCACCCAATAGAGTGATTACTTTATGTAATATAACGTATGCAAACTTAAAGACCGTCCAGAACTTGCCATGAAGTCTATCGAGTTCAGGACCCTCTCTTTATTCCATTCCAAACTTGTAAACTGAATTATTTGATTCTTTATATAATCAGCAAATTTGTAACCCTAGAAAGGTCAAAAGACCAATCCTAATAGAGCTTTAATTCATTGACCGTAACCGAAAGATACGGAAGGCCAAAGACCTCATCCTTCAATTCCCGTTCTATTTTATTTCCAACATTAATAAGTTAACTGAAATATTTAGAACTTACTGATAAGCCACTGACCGGTTCATAATTGATTTTTTTTATTTACAGGGTTTATAAAATATGTAAAATAAAAGAAACTGATATGACAAAGTCATGGAAAGAAAGAAGTGAAATCATAAGACACCTTCCTTAAAGCCAAAGGGGGGTTTTGAGTAGTATGGTTGTAGGAAGAGAAAGAGAGAGAAGAAGAGGATAGTGATGAAGAAGATGAAGGGCCTTTTTGAGGGTCTTCTTATTTAACAACAACCTTTTTCCAACTTTTACCAAATCTACCCCTCAGACCTTGTCTTTGGATTGGATTTGGATTTCCTCACACTTAACCAACAGCTTTCCTCACCCCTCTCTTCCAAACTAAATTCCCATCTACATGAACCAATCAAACAAACATACACATCTCCTTCTCTGTTCTTCATCATCATCTTCTACTTCTTCTTTATTGCCTTTTGGGACCAGTTTCTCTGTGTCTATCTCATCCTCATTCCTTTTATCCCCAAATCACCATCTTTCTTGATCTGGGTTTTCTGTTTCCTGCTCTCAATCCCCATTTTTATTGAGCAAAAACTCATCTCATCACAAGGTGAAGGATATCTTCACTGATTCACTGCAGAGGCTCTTCTCATATCTCACATGGTTAGGTTCTTCTTAATCTGTTTCTGGTTTTTCTGATTACTATTTGCTGTTAAAACTTGTTCTGGTTATTGGGTTTTGCGTCAAATCTGTTTCTTGCTTAGTTATGTTATCAAATTCTGATTTCTTGGATCTAGTCTTGGTGCCTCTTTTTGTGGATCTTATCTCTTCATAAAGCTTGTGCTTTTTTTGCAGATTGTTAATTTTTAGTCAATTTATCTCTTCTTTTTCTCTCCTTCTATTTGGAAATCAAGAAAGTTTTCATCTTTAGGGTTCTTGGTAATTCAATGTACCCAATACCCATGATCCATTTTGTTGATTAATATGGCAGAATCCATCACTGGTACTGTAAAAGTTTCTTGATCGCTGCAAGCATGGGTAGGGGTAAAGGAAAAGGGAAGAAGTTTGCTTTAACCAACAACGATGATCCTGGAAGCGGGGAAGACGAGAAAATTCCTGTGCAGAAGCGAAGGGGAAGGCCACAGAAGCCATTGGTGGATGAAACAGATGAATATGTTGAGAAGATAGAAGAAGAAGATGATGATGAGAATGTGAATGGGAAGAAAAGAAAAAGGAACAAACCGGCAAAGGAAAAGGGCGAGTTAGCGAAAGAGGAAAGCCCGAATGGCACCAGATCCAACGGTTTTCGCCATAATGGGAGCCGGAGAAAAAACAAACCTCATCGAGCAGCGGAAGCTGGTGTCGAATGCAAGTAGCAGGAATGAACCATTTGAGGCCTAATGTTTTTCTATTAATGTTTTGTGTTGAGTTTGATGGATTAGAAGGCAATGGCCTTTGATACATTTGAGGCTAGAAATAGTTTCTTGCATCATATGTGTATTACATGTGTATCACATGTGTTGGCTACAATGGGAATGTACCCATTTATCTCTTTTGGTATTTTGCTTCCAAAATTGTTGTGAATGTATGGTTGATGTTGTTCCAAATGAAATCTGACTTAGACCAACATAACAATTTCATAAGTCGGGTACTTACAAAATCAGTTAACAGTCGTTTTTTTTTAAGATAGATGTCAGGTTTGCATACATCTCACTTCATACCCTATTTTTCAAGTCAAATTTTATTGATTTGTTTGGTTATATATATATATATATATATATATATATATATATATATATATATATATATATGATTCTTAATGAGGTTATAATAATCTATTTAATTGAGTTTTGGTGATGGAGGTTGTAATTTTGGTGGTGAAGTGAGTAGGCCATGATTGGCGTTGTTGTGATTTCATACTCGGTGGTGGTCCAAAGCGGTGGGCCGTAGCCCACTTATTGATTTAGCCCATAGGTTGGACCAATTTCCAGTACTTTTTGTGGCCCAACCCATTTAGCCGTCTATATCTATACCATTTTAGAAAGTGTTTTAGACATTAGTTTATGTGATTGAAATATTTTTCATATAATGAATTTTTTCATTGTAATCACACAACACATTTAGTCATTCATGTATAAAGGGTTCAGTCCAAATTAGAAGACTAAAAATCGTGAGAGAGTATGAATTACTGGAAAAAAAAATCCGAAAAGAATCTATTTAAAGATGCATATGGGTTGACAGGGTTGGGTTCACGTGAGACCAGACTGTTTTCGTGAGACCCGCGAGACCATATTTTTTCACTTGAAACTTTACAGCAAAAACACTGTGAAGGTTAAAAAAGTCGAACCTTCACAGCAAAAGTGAAGGTTACTTTCACAGCATTTTGCTGTGAAGTTTCAAGTATAAAAAGTTGGTCTCACGAAAACAAGCTGGTCTCACGTGATCCAAAGTCTGGGTTGACATATGCATCTTTAAATAGATTAATGAAGGTAAAAAAGAGCCGAACCTTCACAGCAAAAACACTGTAAGGGTTACCTTCACAAAGTTTTGTTGTGAAGTTTCAAATGTAAAAGAAATGGTCTCACGGGTATCACGAAAACAGTCTGATCTCACGTGATCCCAAGTTATTATATGTATATTAATATGTATATATACATATATGGAAGGTAGATAGAGCATGCATTTGATTAAGGTAGATAGACCACGCATTTCATTAATCACATAAATAATCCCACGTTTCCTGGGCTGTTATCATTAATTAATTTAGTTGATTAAACGAGTTATTTTTTTAATTTCAAAAATTAATAATTATGTTTAACCATATAAAATGTATCTACATAGAAGTTAAATTTAAAAATACGAGTCTTGAATATTAAAAATAAAAAAACCCAATTATTCTTGTGCAGTTTACTTTGAGCAAAAAGTTGATTATCGACAATTTTAATCGGGTCTACATAGAACCCGCCTCCAAGGAATATTGATATGAGAGGACATTTTTTGGTTCACTTAGAAGCTGGTGATAGTTGAGGGGGCCGTGACTGAACATATAATTTACCTTATACTTGAACAAAGTCGTTCCACCTATTTATCAACTGAGTTGTGCAGTTTAATTTATACGACCATTATAAGTATCAATAATCTGTTATAGAATACTGATAATATCTATTTGAGCCTCTAAAACCTCATGGTTGTAAATTCAAGATTTAATACATGCTAAATAACTTGTTTAAAGAAACACTATAAATACCACTTAAACTTGATGATCTTAGTATTGCTTGTTTCTTTACTTCAGGTTTTTTGTTTGTTTAGACTGTGTGTTTCTCTGTTCTGTCTGAATCTATTTATTTACGTTTCTTGTAGAAACTTTTTTTTAAACCCTTCTTGTTTGTTCTGGTCTTTTTAATATATTTTGTCTACCACCTTAAAAGAATTGGCGTTAATCAAAGAAAATTAGCAATACACAAAGGATTAAGAATGCATCTTGTGATTGTTGGCTTTATAACAACAACGATTTACGTAGTCTCGGTGATTAAAGGCTCGAAAGCAGCTTCCAATCTCGGCTTATCTCCAAACTGGGGTTTATCCGTTGTAAATCGATCTAGCTTTCCTGAAAATTTTGTTTTTGGTGCAGCCACTTCTTCTTTTCAGGTAATTCACAAGCAGCTTCGTTTTGATATGCATTAAATACATATGCATGCAGCATGCACACAGTCTTTTGACGAGAAATATGCGTTAATATATGTCGTATATAAATATTATATAACATGTGTTATAATTTCTTTTTAAAATTATTGATTTCTCTTGAGTTTGAACTAAATACTAAGGGAATGATAGAGAATAAATTTTCATTCCCTCTAGTTTAATCTGGAACGAAAATTTGGACTTGTAGAAGAATGAGCCAGTTATATTATATTATACCAAACAATTTATTTTATTTTAATTCTCATTAATTACTGCTTAATATCTCTAGTCAAACCACCCCCTAAGTGATTTTTTTTAATCTTGTATGTAAGTATTTATGTATGGTGATATACAGAACGAGGGTGGAGCAAACGACGATGGTAGAGCTCCAAGCATATGGGATACTTTTACTCGAAGACATCCCGGTTTTCTTGATTGAATTTATTTATTTTCCATTGCAATTATCTTAAATATTAACTACCATCATAATGTGACTCAACACAATTTTAACTATTCGGATTTCAGATAAGATCTCAGATCATAGTAATGCGGTCACCGCCACTGATAGTTATCATCGATACAAGGTCTGATTTTTCGAATAATTACCGAAGCCCCTCTTCATTTATTCGTATGTTTTACAGAAAAAAATGTTATAAAAAAATTATAACTGAATTTACAGGAGGATGTGAGGATGGTAAAGCAAATGGGTATGGATGCATACCGTTTCTCAATCTCGTGGTCTCGAATTCTACCACGTAAATTCAATATCTTACGTAAACAAATTCCTATTTTTGGATTATATATATATATATATATATATATATTGTAAATATACAATAAATTAATATTGGTGCAGGTGGAAAACTAAGTAGCGGTATTAATGAGCATGGAATTTCTTATTACAATAACCTCATAAATGAACTTCGATCCAATGGTTAATTAAATCTCTCTTTGGCTATATTTATTTTAATTAATTTTTAATATATTTATTAATTAAATTCATGTGTTCTTGATAGATCTGGAACCCTTTGTGACTCTATTTCACTGGGATCTTCCTCAAGCTCTAGAAGATGAGTATGGAGGCTTCTTGAGTTCCCGTGTTGTGTAAGTAACTGATCAAAAATAATTAATTATTGATTTAATAAATAAATTTAAATTTGAAAAATTATAATTAATGAAAAATTACTTGCAGCAATGATTTTCGTGATTTTGCTGAGTTATGTTTTAGAAGATTTGGTGATCGGGTCAAGTTCTGGATCACCCTAAACGAACCATGGAGTTACAGTGTCGGAGGTTATGAAAAAGGCTATTTTGCCCCTGGCCGGTGTTCTTACTCCGTCGCTAATTGCACTGCCGGCGATTCAGGCATTGAGCCTTATATCGTCACCCATAATCTGCTTCTTGCCCACGCTGCTGCCGTTAAATTGTACCATGACATTTATAAGGTTCATCTCTATTCACCCATAAAAACACATTCAACATTCAAAACAGATATAAAAGGTTTCACAGTGTTTCTACTGTGAAGATTCGGTGTTTTCTTATACGTTCAAAGTGTTTTAGTGTTAAAGTTTCGGTGTTGTGTTATCTAGAGATCTCACTAATTGAGACATTGAAAAACGTTATTAGGGACCGCAAAATGGCAAGATCGGAATCACACTCGTGACACGGTGGATGGTTCCATACTCCGATGTGAAATTACATCGTGACGCTGCACTTCGTGCTCTTGATTTTGATTTTGGTTGGTATGTAACTATGTACACAAGCCTTGCGTATCTGATAATCATAAGCTAACTTGTTAAAAACACGCATTTGGTTAGTCGTTAGCTAATAAGCTCAGGTTTTTTAATTTCCAATTATCCCCCTTATATTTTTTCAAACATGTTCTCTTTGATAATTTTATATTATCGTTTATCTTATGAGCTATTTCTTTTTATCAATATTTAACTAGTTTATTAGCTGACGACTAACTTTTTAGGTGACTTGTTAGCTAGTTCGTGGAACATATAAGCTAAACATTATGTTGATTTTGGTATAATAAAAACATGGCAGGTTTATGAACCCGTTAACGTTCGGGGAGTACCCTGAGACAATGAGAATCAATGTCGCGAATAGATTACCTCAATTCACAGCAGAAGAATCGTACACGCTCAGGAACTCGTTGGATTTTCTTGGATTGAACTACTACACCGCGAATTATGTGCAACATATTGCTCAGGCTGTCACTGATAACATGACTCGGTCCTCCGATTCTCAAACTAGATTATCGAGTACGTTAAAACGTGTTGTAAAATATACAAGTCATCGTATTTTATATACGTTAAAATCAACATATATTTTACCATTTTTTGGTTTGTTTCTGTTTAATAGTCGAACGAAACGGAGTTCCAATTGGTTCCAAGGTATTATTCTCTTTTACAAAGTTTATATTTCGACATAATATAATAGAAAACGAGTCGAAAATCCGACTTCATTTTCAGGGTGGAACGGATTGGCTCCGAGCATACCCGCAAGGGATTCATGATCTTTTGGTGTACATCAAGAACAACTACAACAATCCCACCATTTACGTCACAGAAAATGGTACGTAATATGATTATTACAGCAGAAGAGGCAGATTCATTTAGAAACTTTAAATATTATATTTAGGAATCCGCAACCACCTATTTTACGAGTATATATATTTATCATGAATATATATCACAATATTTTATTACCTTATTCATCATGAATACTCACACGAAAACCGACAAGTAATTAGATTAAGCATTTTATGCAAACCATGCAATTTCGTTGATCTTATTGTAGGAGTTGATGAGCCAAACAATGCGTCGTTATCTCTTCGATCGGTTCTCCAAGACGATTTCAGGGTTCAATACTACTTTGGTCATCTTCAAAAGCTTCTGCAAGCTATCAAGTAAACTCTTTTCGACCCGAAATCATGAAATAATTGATCTTTAATATATGTAAATTTATTTTAGAAATCAAATGACACGAACTTGTTGGACGAATTAATGTAGTTCAGGGGTGAATGTGAAGGGCTACTTTGCATGGTCATTGATGGACAACTTCGAATGGGATCGAGGCTATGCGGTCCGGTTTGGGCTACATTATGTAGACTATGGCAACGATTTGAGACGATATCCAAAGTTTTCGTCCACTTGGTTCGGCAATTTCATGCGTATTCGAGAATAGAAGGTGAATAGATAGACAATGTTTAAACCATAGAAAGCTACTCTTTGCATTTCTAATTCTCTTTCAATAAGAAATTGGATATCAAATGAGGAAGAATAATGAATTAAGCAATGTTTCTTGCAATTTAACCATTGATTATGACGTTTCAATCTTATTAAAAAATCATCAACCTTTGTAATTTGAGCAAAAGGTTGATCAACATCGAATGGCCTCACATGAAACCCACCTTCTAGGAACCACATTCCAGGAGGTATTTCAGACCCGACTAAGCGGTTGAGGCTAACGGAGGGATGCAAACCCCGTCTCTCTCGCAGTCCCACAATATTCGAACTTGAACCTCTGTGTATTTAGTGAAGCTTCTCCACCTTTTCAATTTTCAACTGAGCTACACACCCGATGGTTCAAACTTACAAGAAGGATTAAAGATGGATCAAATTGTATGAAAACTCACAATTGATTATCAACACATATTTGACCATTTTATTAAGAAGAACATAGCTCTTCAAATAGTTCACACAAAACAGAAAAGGGAAATATGCTCGAACAACATCAAAAGAAAAGACTTGCCCCTATAAACAAAGACCAAATCAAACAGCAACGGCTCAATTATTCCAACACAAATCAGACAAGGTTGCCTTTTTTATTACTTCAACAAAGATGGCCGAATGCAAGTTAAATCAGATGGAGATGCTGTACGGAACACCTTTTCCGGTCACCCCAGCTTCAGATTTTGGTTTGAGAAGCTGATACGGCACCGACCCTTTTCCAATTCTGTTGTGCAGATTGGGATCACTGTTCCTCGAGTCTATGGTATCTTCAAGATTCTTTAAACTTCCACGGAACACTTCGAACGCGGTATTTATAATCGGCTCTGTCTCCCATGCAGGCTCCATGTTAACGCCGATGTACTCCTCGTCTGGAGAATGACTTGACAAAACGTCTAAAGTGGACTTTACTTTCTTAGATTGATCTTTGGACGGGAAGCAGTTCCCTAGTTCATGCTCGGGATTCTTTAGGAATGCTTTCTCCCACTCTTCAGTTGTTGAATCTTCGTTGGGCATTTTAGTTCTGGCAATGGTTGGCCTTGGGGGGGAATAAGCAGCAGTATACTGACCAAAGTTGACGGCTGAATGGTGGCCGGAAGTCACCCACATGATTGTTGTGACAACTCCAACCAAATCTTGTTGGGTTTTGAGTTGAGGCCACCATGGTTCGTCCTTCTTGTCTCCATGCCCGACTGTTCGGATTTCAGTCCACCAAGCTTGAAGCTCTTCATCAGACTCTACAAGGTCTGCTTGTGGGTAGTAGTGGTTGACATAGGAAGTAGCCCACTGTTTGATGGCATCCCAGAGAATTAGACCATCATTGGCAAATGGGTAGTCTTCAATTATTAGTTTTATACCATGTAGTGCACTTGAATCTTCAACAGCCATTCCCCTGTTGATACATGAAAAATAGAAATCTGTCATTAAACCTAATATGCCAGAAACATATGCGTAACTGATGTGTTGGGCGAGAAGAATCCCTTTTTTATGATGTACAAGAGGTTCCAAATGTGTTGGAAAACGTTACCGATTAATTAGGTCAGCTGGAAGTGCCTCATGATCAAATCGCCATTGTTGAGCATATACATCAGAGGAAAGTTGCATGGAGTATTTGCCTGGAAAGAAGGTAGACTCAATAATACCACCGGCATTAATGAGGAATAGTCGAGCTAGGCTATTAATCTGCATCGTGTATCGAAGATGAGGAAACAGTAGTCTCTGTATAGGGTGCATTTTGCTAAGGCAACGGTGGGTAGCAATTATGTAAGGCTCTGTAACGCAATGAGTTCTGAGCCTGCAAAGTTGATAATTAATCAAATGGCTAATTATCATGGGTTAACTTGAAGTTAAGTGTGGTGCAAATAGAAAGGTACCCACCAGTGGCTGATAAGCTGGTGATAACCAGAATCATGAGCAAGGACATGAGCCTTGGCTAGCTTCCAGAGCCAGGCTTCTATAGTAACATCTTTAGGATTCGAGGAGGGTATGTACACATGTCTCCACTGTGGTTTCTCCTTGTTTGGTGGGCGAGTCAACTCAATGGCTACCGGTTTCAATGTTCCAGTAGCTGTGAGGAACATTAACGTCCTTGAACCATAGAGAGTCGTCCCTTTAAGCTCTCTTACTTCATTTACATAAGGTAAGAGCAGATCATGGTAATCCAACAAAAATAGCTTCTTCTGTTTCAATGCCTGCAAAGATACTCACAGTATTAACTATATATATATATATATATATATATATATATACATGCAAGCACAATGGAGGTGAAAATAATACCAAGAGTATGTGTTTTAGTTTTGCATTACCTCCTCAAGAGTCATGAAACCTCTGATACCTTGCTTATTAATTTCTTTCTCAACAATTTCTTTGGTAATTGCTGATTCAGCTGGTCCGTAAACTTCAGGGTCTAGTTTGCTTATCAACGGCCATTCCTACAGATATACACACACACACACACACATATATATATATATATATATATATATATATACACATCACAAATTTTTGATTTATTAGAAGATACCAACAATCATCGATCACTTCCATAATTTAGTCGTAGAGAAGAACATACCGTGACCAACTGTATGCTATATGGATTGATTCCAGCAAGTGTTTGTCGACAAAATTCATCATCTCGAAACCAACTAAATGATATCTCTGCAATATGTTATAACCATCAACAAAAGCCACATAAAGCCAAAAATCAAACACAGTGGGTTGAGATTTATTGCTTACTGTCCTTTCTTCGAGCACCATCTATGTGTGCTACAGTTTTGACACTACCGTAAAGATCTCTGAAAAACCTTGGTACCACAACTTTAATAACGTTTTCAAGATGATTCAAGTCAGCCCATTTATCAAATATATACGTGAGAACTTTTTCAATGGATGACTCAATGAATGAAAATTCCAGCTCGATGCTGTCCGTGATTGATAAAAACTGCTGGTTCGCGTTACTAAATATGTGTAGCGATGCTTTAAGTGCTTCCAGTACGGAGAACAAGATCTCCATTGTCCCGAATGTTACCACCTTTCTATCTGAAAACGATTCATCTCTCGGCACATAAAACTGATTATAAAAGTGGAGCCTTTTCCTCGACTCCGACCAGGGTTCTGTAATTCCAAAAAATGTCATCGATGTATTTCATTCAGTTCATTGCTTATTGAATTCAACATAGTTCGAATAAATACAACCATGACTCACAAACAGACCAAGTGTTTGTACCTTTCTCGGTCATTGCACGACCAGTTCGACAACGCCTAGGGTAAGGATGTTCCTTGCCACCGAGCATCGGTCGAGCCAGATCAGAGCTACTATCGGGATCACCGAGATCGTTATACGTATCGTAATCGTATATCCTCTCAAATGATTTGCGTTCTTTTTTATCCTTGCCTCGAAGGGACAGTAGATCTTCCTCCCTTAAATACTTCAACCCTGCCGGCGTTTCCGATGGTAGATATGACTGCTTCATCCGAACGACACAGACTAATTAGTATACAAGACTCACGGATAATCGGTGGCCGGCGCCAGCACAACAGTCTCACCATGGCGACGAACGACGCGGGATGCAAGATTTTGAAATAAAATATTAAAATATAAAAGGGGTTATTATCATAGATTAATAACCACATGGGAACCCTAAAAGCTATGGTCTCTCAACCAACCTTCAATTAATTATATATATATATATATATGTATTATATAAACTCATATATCCTTCTCATATTTGATATGTAAAAATAAAAAAATACCGTAAAGTGCTTCAAAATAACCCTACTGTCATGCTTATTTATTAGAAAATTCAACGATTTTCGACTTTAGTGTCAAATATTTTATTTTGGCTAAATTGTAATAAATTGTTATAATTTTGCTTTATTTTGAATTTAATTATTGAATTTTAAAAATTATAATAAAAAGCAGAGGAAAAAATGGAAACACCTTGTCCGTGAAGAAGATTCTTTTATTGGGATCATCATGTTTCGAGTGAATCCAAGATTCACAAGAAAAGACGACGTTGCCATCATCAAGAACTATGTTCTTGATATACCTTTCTCTATGATGCTCATTCTCTATCAACAACGCCCCTATCTCCCCAAATTCCTCAGGAACCTCAAACTCACACTTGTATATGAACATTTTACTCTCATCATCGAATCCAACATAAGTGGTATTCGCCTTCACCGTCTCCTTCTCTTTACATGACACTTCATAAACATATGAAAAAATAGTTTAATAAAAAAGGTACAATTTATGTATACATATATCGAGAGGTTCAAATAAGAAGACTAAATATTATTGTGAGAATGAAAGAAGTAAAAGTCAAGGGAAAGTTCATGTGGACAATTGAGAAAAATCAAGAATAAAAACTAATTTGAAGATCCATATGTGAACCGAGATTCAAATGGATTTTTTTCAATGATTTACGTATGAAACTTCTCATCTTATATTATCACGGCATTTAACCTTCTTATTTGAACTAGTCTCTGTATGTGTGTGTATGGAGGGAGGAGACAAATCATATATATGAGAACCATGAAAATGTTATAAACCCATGAAAACCGATTTAAAAATATTTTTTTACATGATTTTTTTATCAAATGATAAGATTTAAGATATTGTTTCACATATATGTTTTATAATGTGATAGTTTTACATGCATTAATTTTTCGACTAAGTGAAAAAAAAAAGTTTCACATGTAATCTTTTTTCACAATGTGAACACAAACATTATATCTAAAACAATATTTCAAATCATAGTTTTTATGGAAAAAAAATCATGTAAAAGTATTTTTATACAAGTTCTCACGAGTCTGTAACATTTTGTGGTTCTTATATATATATATATATATATATATATATATATATATATGAGATTGGGAGAGAACCTAAAAAAAGTAAGAACAATGAAATAAAGGTGGTATTATATTTTGCTAATTTTCGATTTAAATTTCGTGGGTAGGGGGTATTATTTTTAAATGATTATAACCATTTTTTTAATCAAATCTGTTAGATCATTTCAATTAATGATTTCGATAGGTTATTCAGTTCTTTATTTTTCTAGTATTCTCTTCGATTATATGTAAAGGTGGGTTCTCTCCGATTATACGTATATGTGTGTGCGCGTACATGTATGTGTGTGTATGTGAGACAATTTTTCCAAAAATTCATATTTGGTTACAAGTATTAATAATTTTACAAAATTCTTTACATTCACTAACATGCAAGGTCATGGCATTGGAGATAGAGAAATTCGTAATAATATTACAAATACGATATGGAATGCAATTAAACCTAAACAATTGGAAATATAAATACTTACAGTCAAGATCAGCAGCAACAAGTTCCAGTATAAACTGTGTTTCAGAATAATGAGTGATACTGTCGATCCACTTTTTTATAACTTCTAGATTGATGACTTCGGCTAACTCTCCGCTCAAAACCGGTAGAACATTGATGATACCTTTCACCACCCTTTTGGGATCAAAAGAGGAGGACATGGCTTCTTATGAGAGAACAAAAGAGTGGCAAGGGAGTAGGTGCTCAAGTGTGTCACTTGATGTCTTAACAAGGTGTTGTTTTGTGGTTTAAAACTTAAAATACAACACCTTTATTTATAGGGAAGTCTTGATACCACTATTCTTTCACATGTGAAACATTAAGAATTCAAATAGATAAAGAAATGTAATCTTATTGAAGATTAGTTGTGTAATCATGCAAGTACGTGGAAATGCATATTTTAATGTAAATCGAGAACAAAAAACTAATTTAATTAATCGTTAAAAATAAATATTTCAAATTATAGAGTATTTAATCGTATTAATAGGGTTTAATTAACGCTTATTATGTTTTAATTTGAACATGTTCATCACTTAATTTATTGTTTAAACTTTAAGATATTATGGATCAATGAGTACCATTTCAATTATTGATTAATTATTTTAAAAAAATATCAATTAATTGAATTTTTTACGGTTAAATAAATATAATTTTATTTATAATATATCTAATAATTATTTAATATGATAGAATTTTTATAATTTACAATTGGTTACACTAAATAATGACTTCAGAAAATTCGTTACCTAACATATACGACTTTTGTATTATTATATACATGAAATACTTGATAATAAATATGATGTTGAATAAAAAAGATGTCCAATTGTTCGTTGCAACTAAAATTTGGAAGAGTTTTTTTTGTTAGTATTTATTTTAATAATAATAAAACGTATTGGTGTTTTTGTTATAATTATATTTGAGTAAACTACAAAATAGTGGTTGTGCTATTCTAAAAATGATTTATTATATATTAATTATTGCTTGGTGATATACTATCTTTTAAAAAAAAGTGTAACCGGTCATTTACTATAGACGGACCTAGAGGGATGGTTAGATGGTACGTGCTACTGTATTGTTCCTCCGTGGTAAGATAAAAAAAAATAGGTTCGTGAAAGGTGCAACCGTTTTATTCTAGAAATGTGCAACCGTTTTATATGGTGCCACCGTATCCAAAAATTCTTGGGTTCGTCCCTGCGGCATTTACCCAATGTTTATCTGGATAAATGTTTACCAAGTCACATGATTTTATCAGATAAATATGATAAGAACTAAAAATTTAACCGCTAAAAGCAAATGCTAGGACCGAGAGTCTTACCATGATTAGCATTTACAGGGTAAATTGTTGCAGATGAGACCGTTTTGGTTGATTAAAATCTTACTCGGTAAATAAATGATAGTATTGAATTTTACTCGTAACGCTTACACAAGCGTTTGGTAAAAGACCCCTAAGTTATATTTAAGATTAAAATTATATGTATCATTTGTTTAATAAATAATAACATTTCAATAAATGGTTAATAATAAAATGTTTTAATTATTCAAAAAAGTTATCATTAAATTAAGTTTTTTATAGTTAAAAATTATAATTTTATTTATATCTCATTTTTATATGATTTA